GTAATTTTCCATGCTATTTAAATAAAATGGGCTTTGGCAGTACTGAAAAGCAATCATGTGATTAGGCCACTTTAGTCCACTTACTCACAGATATTACATGATTAAGGTGTAAATAATTGTACAGTATTTTAAAAGAGTGAATCTAGTTTATTTATAAGAATTCTCRTATTACTGTGATGAAGGCTTTTTCATTTTTTGCAAGCTGCATAATTACATGTMTCTGGAATAATTTGTGAAATTACTTTATGTATAACAAAGCTTAAATGAAGGGAGCCTAGAAGAAACATGGAGTGGGAAATTTACAAGAGCCCATAGTGATAGGACAAAAGCTTCAAACTGGAGCAGAGAYGGTTTACATTAGATAATAGGAAGAAATTCTTTACTGTGAGGATGGTATGGTACTGGAACAGTTTGCCAAGGGAAACTGTAGATATCCCAATCTGGAAGTGTTCAAGACCAGGCTGGATGGAGGAAACGTGGTCTAGGAAAGGTGTTCCTGACCATGGCCGGAGGGTTGGAAGTAGATGATGTGTATGGTCCCTTTCAGCCTAAACCATTCTGTGATTCTAAATAAACAGAATCATCCACTGAATGTCTTCTTCCTCAAATACAACTGATGAATGTAGTCTGCAGCAAATAATTAACAGAAAATAAAAGTTAGTTTGATCAGGAGAAACTTCTGCTAAGTGAGTATTTTGTGTACTGTTTTCTTTTCTGAAAACATCAGTTTTACGATAAGTATGGAAGATGGTACAACTTAGAATTTATCTTTTAAGGCATAGGTGAAAATCAAAACCTTAATATTACCTTTAGAAATCATCTGGAGACTAAAAGATGCTCTGCTACACAGAAGATACTTTTTATAGCTTTCTTCATTGATTGCTTTTCATGGATAGACAGAAGAGGTGATTTTACACACTGTCACTGGCAGGAATTGAGCATAACARAGCAAACTGATCATCAGAATTGAACCTAAAGAGTGTTTCATCACCTGAAACCTGATGGCTCTGATGATTCCAATGCTGTGTTTGGGAGCAGATGAACTGAATTCATATCAATAAATATAAATATCAATAATGTGTCTCAGTAACTCAAATGGAGGTGCTCCTTTTGTAGCTGAAATCAAGAAATTGCCATTCAGGGAGCAATTAATCTCATTCTGAAGTACATTACTATAACAGAGCAGGGGAAAACKTCTCTAACACCTCCTGTTTCTGTACCTGGACTGTAAAAGGAGATCTTGGGTGGTTAGATCAYGTGGCTACCTCAAATTACCCAAGACTTGGAATGATTAAGATAAGCAATAGCAAAAAGTTCTGTTGTAGCAATGTGGGGCATAACACCTTTATTTTCAGCTTTTTCAACTCTTCAATGGAAGTTGATGTTGTTTCAAAAAAGCAGTTTCTTATTGTAGTCATAATTGTCAGCAATTAATCTCCTACACATTATCTAAATAAATATTATCTTGATACCATTCACTGCCTTTATTTTTTTTTAAATGAGACATTATAGAGAAGGTGTGTTCCTAAAACTGATTAGCCTATAGAAATAATTCCATTCAGCTGCAGTTTAAAGGTGCAACACAACTGATCAAGATACATAAAATAGAAAGGTTAAAAAGAYAAATACCTGATTACAAGAAATTAGTTTTAGCCTTTGTTTCTAATTTCTTGACACCTCCCATGATTTCTCTTGTACACACTTGCAGTACTCTTAGGAATGTTRAGGAGTCTTGCTATGAATAGGTAAGTGTATAATTACAAAAGAGAATAAAAAATCACTGTGCAYATGAGGTAAAATGATATTGTGATGTGTTGCAAATTTAGGCTGAAATTCATTGCTTATGCACAGAACAAATGGTCTGTAGCTGCTGAGTGGTCCCAACACAGGTCCAGTCTGTTGGTCAGTTGCTGTGGGAGGCTATTCCTGTGATACACACTGACCTTATTAACATCATACAAAGGTGGGCAAAGATGCAGGGATTCCCTGTAAGCAAAAATTGTTCAAAGGAATAGTCAATAGGGTAAAA